TATATATATATATATATATATAGTATGTATACTTATATACATAGTATGTATACAGATATATGTAATTATCTACATGATTAATTTTTCAATAAATTTCGATCGAAACGCGTGATCTTTATCTTTTTTTTCTTTTGCAAAAATTGAAGACGGTTGAGAATTGTCAGACTGCGAGGCTTGTGCGCGACACAACGATAGTAGTACACACAGTTATAGTACAGTAGTGACAAGTTGCAGCTGCGAAGTGTGACGTCGACACACAGTTTCTTGCCGAGGCGACATTCATCATCCCGTTGAAGCTTCTTACGCGATAATGTTCGTCGTTTTTATCGAACGCTAACATCTAAGTTCGTATGCAGGAGCTTATAGCTTGAGTCATATATAAATGCCCGTAACAAAGTATAGAATTGTTCAAACTAGATATTAAAATATAATATTCATTCACGAAATATTGTAAGCCAAAGTATGAGAAAGTAAATGTCGCGATAAATGTTGCCTTGCAAGAAGTAACGTCGTATAGTCGACGACGCTACGAATTAATTAGGACGCAGGATGGTGATTTGTATGTGTTTCGAAAATGAGCAAGTAGAGGACAGAATCAAAGGTTTCGTGACGAAACAGGGCACATACGCATCGCGGCTCGATTTTTCCACCTACTCGACTGGAGAATCTTGGAGAATCGTTCCATAATTTCAAATAAATAAAAAAAAATAAAAAATCAAGCATTTTTCTCTTAATTCTAAAACAATTTAACATCTTTATTGTTTCAAATTTTTATTCTAAATTTATTCTATATATTTATAAAAAATATTTGTCACTTTGGTAATGTTTGTGATAATTTTCCATCTCTCTCTTAACAAACGTAAACAGATTACAAATTCTCCTAGACATTAACGATTGATTTTGAATGTATTGTCGAGCTTGCTTGAAAGACAATCTCCTGTCTTGAAGTTCGCAGTTGGCGAAATCAGCCGAAGCTCAACCTGGTGGAAAGATCGAGCCAGAGAGTCGAGAAATTGCGGGGTTCGCCTACGTAGCACTACGTTGTAACTCGCTCGTTAGGCTGTGTAATTATACGTGTATGCACGTGCGTATATACCGGATGGAGGTTGACTGGGCTGGTTGGTCCGCGTGTCGCACACTGAGAGAAATAGCGTGCGGTCTCTTAAAGGTATATAACAAGGAGTAAGAGCCCGAGAGATGGGAACGAGAAGAGAATAGAGAGGGAAAAGTGAGATGGTACAGAGAAGATAGAGAAGAGGTTGCGCGTATGTGTGCGTGTGTCGCACCGGGCAAGACGATTGAATGTCTCGTGACAAAGATACGGCGGACCAGGGGCTTTAATACACATACACACGCCCATACACACGCATACACACTGCATAGAGACGACAGATGCCATACAACAGATATATTATTCGCATACAACACACTTATTTGTGGCGGCCTACTTCTCTCAGTGCTCGAGATCTACTCGATTCGCGCAACATCCCCATTGTTGTGTGCGTGCATCATTTAACACTTCGTCTCGTTAAATATATGTAAACTGAGAGAAAAATAGTTACAGTTACCATAATTTAACTAGAATTTATAATTATTTTTAAGACCAATTATTTTTTCAAATAAAAGTAAATATGACACAATAAATTTTGATCAACTGTTTTCTCAACAAGTAATAAATGTTTCTTATAAGCTTTTTACACTAAAAAAGAATTTCCTTTCCAAAAAAGGTTTATCACCTCTCAAATTTTAGAAACTTCAATCCAAATTTCTTGTATAATAACGCAAGTATTCGTAATAAATGTAATGTAACTATAAGAGATTCAAATGTTTTTTAAAATACATAAAAATAAATACAATCATATAAAGCTCCTTTTATTATTTACATACAACTATAAATCATATATTAAAATAATGAAATTTATTGGCACACAAATATTTAAAATCAAGAATTACAAGGGTTAATTTACAAGGGTTTCTATTTATTTGAAATCACATTTGAATGATAATTTTTATGTTTTTATTCTATAAGATAAAAGGAAAAGTTTAAACTGTTTTAAATTTTAATTTATTAGGTTTTTTTTAAATAAAGTGTTTTCAGAATACATATATTGGAACTTTTCTTAATCTTATATTTCTTCTATCTTTTTCAGCAATTAAACATATATAGGAATCACTATTTAGATGTTAAAAAAACAGAAATCTTGTAACACGATGTTATTGTTACTAATATTAGCAGTAATAAACTAATCATAAGTATTTGAGTATTATAATCACAAATACCAAACACTTTTCCTTCAGTGCATCGTTGTGTCTAGAAATCTACGCTATATTCTCGTACGCTTAGTCGGAACTGATTCTCTTCCAACTGAAGAAATCCCGTCCAAGCCAAGATGTGATTGATCTCGACACTTTCGAGATTTTACATGAATAAAGCGTAGATTTTTATAATACAAAATAGTAAATCGAAACAAAGAGTTAAACGAACACGACTCAATGGAAACGGAAATCTTCCATCTCCTCTGCATTCAATGCAATTCTGATTGATAGGAAGGTGATACACGAAGAAAATTTCCGAATGTAGAAAACAGAGAATACCTTTGGATAATTACGATAATTTGCCAGAAGATCTTTAAATGCAGTCGCGAAGATATAAACTTTCCAATTTTTTCAAAATCTTTCTCGAATTTTTTTCGTGTATACCACGCCAGAGTTTTATACAGTTTCTCGTTTTTGGAGAACAATGTATCGAGGAGAATCAGGATGAAACTTGAGGTTTCTTGAAATACTTACCTCCTCATTGAGGTTGCTGACGAGTAGCACAGCCGATGCTTGCGCGCTTCCTTGGACCCGGACACCTAGACCAGCCGCACCAAGAGGGAATCCGCCGAGGCCGGCAAGTCCGCCAGCTGGAGGTACGCCGTTATAAGGCCCGGCCAAGGGTGAAGCGAGACCGTGCATCGCAAAGGGCGTGGGCAGCACACCCGGTGCCCCTGCAATGGACTCTACTTCAGGAAGTTCAGACGACATTATTATCATTGTCGATATTGCAATTGAAAAAAATTGAAAAAAGAAAGAAAAGAAAGTATACAAGTCGCGAAGACCGAGCGTGATCCTGTCTCGAGAATTTCTGGAATCGTAAAATCCTTCATAAAATCCGAGTGTAAAACGCCACGTTTCTAATTACGATGTCTCGCGATTCATTGAACGGTCGTTTCCGTCGATACGTGAACGATCTTCTCGTCATGTAATTAATCGCGTTTCTTCATCGTGATTTTCGGAGACCGATCGTCACGAGATCACCTCAATCCTCAGTCATCAACGGACTGTTTGCGCAACGAGATAGGACGCAAAGTGGATTACATTGTTACAGATTAAATACCAACAACAACGCCGTGAAATTAATTTAACCCAAACAAGCGCCGGGCCGAGCGTGTAATTTAAACTAGCCGTTGTCGCCACGATACAAACGCAAAAATTCAGACGATTCGGCGAACCGGATCGTCCGCCGAGTACTTTATACTAATTAATTAATTTACCCGAGGAAATAATAACGTCCGACTGGTGCACGTAGCGGACAGAATGTAGTTCGAAACGCCAGCAAATTGCTTCTACCATCGTGAGATAATAATAATAATTCAGTCCGACGTCCGAATGACGTAAAATCGGTATCACTACTAACGTAATTAATTCCGATAAACGTAACGCCGTTAATTGGCCGATCAACCTTTCAATTATACCTTTCACAAAGCTCCGCGAGCTTTTACGTTAGCTAAATAAAAATCACAAAAACGTCTCAAATTCATTTGGAATAGATGTTTTAACGACGATGAATCCCGTAAAGCTCACCTGTCATGAGTTACTGAATACATATTCAACTATTATCAGGTTATTATTACACGAAATCGTGTAAGAGTAATGTAATTCATCGCTTATACATTTCGTGGAATATTCAGAATTACTTCGGTCGAATTTCGCTAGCGTTTAATAACGATGAATTTTGCAAAACAATTTTGAATGCGAACTATATAACTATATTTAATTATTATTGAGCATTACTGCACAAAATTGTCCACGATTAATGTGTTTATCGATCACATATCGCACATGGTCTGTTCCACATTGTATAATGTACATATGCATTATACATATGTATATAACTTGGATATATGTATATATTATACATACACACGCAAGCACGCACGCACGCGCGCGCGCACACACACACACACAAAATGTGTATATATATTGTATATATACACAGGATCGAGCAAAAAAATGACTCTATTTTGTCTACATTAGATAAATTATCGAATTAAATAAATATTTTATTAAACATTTTTATGATATAAATTTGAACGTACTTAGCAATATTTTCAAAGTTAAAGTGGTAATTAATGAGAATAAAATGATTGATAGTGTGCAGAATAGATGTATAATGCTATAATTAAATTAACTTTTTATTGTTTTTTTATTGATTCAAGTTTCTGTACAGATAAAAAAAATTAGAAAAATATATGAATTATTTTAAAACGAGTTATTTTATAATAATTTCTTTATCTTTCATAAATAAATTTTCTTAGTACGTGAAGTTGCATGTTGCTAAATAACAAATATAAAAATGATATTAATGTCTCTATTAGAAAATAAAATATAATGAAACATTCAGATCGCACATTTTTTTATTCCATAAAGACCATAACAACAATTAACAATTAATTAAATTCTTGAGATAATTTCAAGAGGGAAACCCTAATACTGAAACTCGAGAATACAATTCTTTAAAATTGTAATTATTATTATAACTATTATTATTCAAAAACTAATAGGACAATTCTATTCTAAGCAAAATCGTAAGATTCGTAACTTATTCTCGTAAAACTCGTAAGAACTTATAACCAGTATTCTTTAATTTTATGCGTATATATTATTCTTCGTATAGTTACGATTTCTTGTAAATCTTATGGCTAGTAAAAAGCTGTCTGTAAAAATATCATATAAAGGTATAAATACTTCAAAGTTTTTATAAATCTTATAGAATATGTTACAAATCTTGAAATTTTGTTTAAAATTTAGGCATAAAGCTCTTATTCTAACTATCAAAAACTATTGTAGTCTCAACACTTTAATATTTATAAAATTTCTATTTCAAAATAAACTCACAAGATAACTCATGGAAGTGTCCCTTTTCGATTTTGATGAGTTTTTATGTTGTTTTTTAAACAAAAATAAGGACACATATTTTTTATAAAATTAATCAACCAATCACAGTAGAGAATTTTACATTCTTCATTATGATTAGCTGATTCCCTTACTCTGCTTAAGTCTTATTGTCTTATATTTTTTTATGTGTTTCTAGCTCAAATTTCACGGTCTTTACTTATGCTCATAAATAATTAAAAGCGATTCAACTGATAAGGCAAACGTGATTGAAATCAAAAATTTCAAGTATGAATTTTACAATACTCACCGGGTATTCTGGCACGCGGTTGAGAACCGGCACCCATGAGTAGCAATTCGCCGCCAAGAGCGAGCGATGCCGCATCCAGACTAGCGTCACCGGTCGGAAGATTCGGATTAGTGTAATCCCGGGACTTGTCGTTATTGTACTTAACGTTCAAATTTTGCATCTTGCTGTAGTCGATGCGCAGCGTGCAGCAAGAGTTGTAGACGTTCTGTCCATCGAGCGACTGCACAAGAAATTATAGAATTTTTTGTGATTTGAGAAAATCGAGATAGGAATATGTTTATTTAAGCTCAGAACACACGGTGACAGAATACAGAACCAATAGCGACTCAAACATCAGTCAATTCTTTTATATTTTTAAAAATCCAGTCGCTTTATAAATAACTTTCCGTTAGCTTAATATATTTAAAACTTCAATAAAATTGAAATATTTATAATTATCTATTATGCCATTTTTATAAAGTATAATAGAATATCAATTACACACATAGAATTTAGATTTAAAAAATATTAAATTTTTTTAGAAAAGGATTGTTCTATTGGATCATACTATCGGAGCAAAATTTTTCTATTAGTTTCAAAGATAAAAGTCTCGTGAAACATACATTGTAACAAATCAAGACAAAAAGAGAAGTTAGCTTTATAAGCGAAAAAGTTTTGAGAGATCAAAAAAAAGTGTGAACGCTGAACAAATTTAAAGAATTCCAAAAAAATCTTTTTTCTATTCTACCTTTAACGACGACTCTTGCGACGAGAAGTACATAAAAAGAACGATTTTGTTAAAATATTTAAAAATTTCGTTAAATATAGATCTAAAAATAATTTCGTTCGACCATTATTTTTTTCAGTAGAAAATTAAAGCAATCCTACAAAAAATTCTAGTAATCAGCTTCAACTACATAATCAATTTACAATTTTGCAATACGTAACAATTATTTTGATAGTTAATAAAATTATTTCGGATCTAGATTTCCAAGAGTACGTTTTGTTTTACGCTTACATCACTTGTCAATTCGTCCCTGTTGTCTATCAATATTAAATAAAAATAAATGCTTATAGCTTGTGAGCACAAAAACGGAACGTATCCTAAATTTTCAGATGCTTCGGTTGGTAAAAGCGTTCTTTCCGTGTACAAGTCTGATTTCTCAGATTAGATCCGAGATTTCCGCTAATCAACATCCTCCACAATTAAGTTGCTTCCAAGTACTTCTGAGACATATCCAATGTAGGTACGTTGCAATATATCATGCACGAATGTTTCGTGCGCTTAATACGGACACAAGCGGGGATCCAGGTCGCTTGTTTGAGCAATGCGCATGGTGCGCATTGCGCGCGACGAAGCCGCGCGTCCGCGTATCCCCCGGGGTATCACGCGGGTGTATATACACCCGACCGCTCCATATTTACACGGGCTAATGAATTTCGTACATAATTAGCTGGTCGGCCCGCGCTGCGGGCCTCAGGCGTGCGCGCATGGCGCGCCAGCCGATTTCCCTCTTTCTCACTCTGCTCCTCAGGCGATTTATTCATAACCGAGAGAACACTGATAATGCATAAACAAGAACGAGACGAATCAATTTTTGCAAATACAAAATATGTTTTCCTTTGCTTTTCGAAAGTGATCCGTAATTAAACAAAAGACCGTTCCAATTTCAACTACTCTCTAAATCTGAATCAGTGAATCACTGATATCAGTGCCAAGTATGTTACTGGTAATCAGTGAGATCTCTAATTTAGCTAATTTTTATTATGTGATCTAACTAATCTTGTTTTGGTGCTTAAATTCAATGAATATAGTATTGGAAGATTGAAATTAATAAATATTGTATGCAAGTATCAGTATTTTAATTATTAATGCTCAAATATTCTTCCTTTTTTGTTGAACTTCACTGATTATCAGTGCCAAGTATGCCATTGGGTAATTAATGATTATTCACTGATTCAGATTTAGAGAGTAGAGAAGATTCCGAGTTAAAATGTATTCTTAAATCTCGATTGTTGAGTAATTATTTTTTTAGTGTAGCGGTAGTGTAAAATATTCGAAAAATCAGGTTCACATATCAAAATCATTCCGATATTAAGAAAAATGATTATTTACAATTAGTTTACTTTTATCTTTTAAGTAAATCTTTTAAGATACTTTTAATAAAGAATTAATCTTAGTAATAGTTTTAAAATATAATTAAACTTATAAATTTTAGAGAAAAACTCATTATCATATGCTCGAAACAAGAATTAGTTTTCTTTTAAAGAATGTCACAAAACTTCATTGAAAAAACTTTATATAATAAGCAAATCGAATTTGTTTTAATTTAATAATTTTGATTAAAGTATTATATAAACTTACTGTAGAATTCAAAGTATATTTTGAATAAATTTGATTTGCTTGTGATGAACTTATGATAAATTTGCGAAAATATTTTTGAAATATTTAAAACAAGTAATTAATCAATTATTTGAATACAATATGCATCTTTCTTTATGTATGCATAATTGAAACGAGAGAATCGGAATTTATAAATATGGAACAACATGTTTTCCCTTAACTCTTCGAAAGATTAGCAAAAAAAGTAAAGTTTCCAATTAAACTGATCCTAAGTTGAAATGTGAATTTCGATCTTCGAAATACATACTACACATATAATTTGAACAGATTTATTTTATGCGTTTGCGTAAAAAATTCGAAGAGTCTAACTGATAGCCGAAGCGACGTTGCCGTTTCGTGCTTTTACACGCGCGTCGAGAGAAAAAAAAGAGGAAAGAGAAGAAAGGTGAGTAGAATGAGCAAGGAAAAGGAGAGGAAAATCGGAGAAGAGCGATATCCGCAACAAAGCTAAATTAATTTTCTGTCTTGCGCGCTACCGGGTTGGTTCGCGGTGGAACCGGTATATTTCAAGCGAATTAATTTTCCCTTTGATCATCGCACAGGTTTACTAGTTTGCGGCGTCGAGCTTATGGCACGGGTGGTGAGGCACAAAGAGGGCTAGAGGGGCTTTCGAATAGGGGTAGTGGATTCGAATGGAGTATGGGGATATAATCGGGGATGGGAAGGGACGAAAGTTTCTGGCGAGCTTCCGTTCGCGATGACTTGTCGTTGCCGGTGTAAAACAACGCGGTAACATATCCTGCCCGCGAATATGTTGACATAGTTAATTCCTAATGTAATTTCCAAGTGCGAATGTCATGAAATGGTTGCAGCCGCATCTCGTCAATCCTTTCGGATCTGCTTGTTTTTTCCTATCATTATAAAATGTCTTTTAGATATGTCATTTCCGTTCTATTTTAAACGAATCTTGAAATAAAGGTGAAGATATCTTGGTATTCTGTACCAGTTCTTGAATAATTTCTGTTGAATAAAGTTCATTTCTACCAATTAGAGTAACTTTAATCTTGGTTTAACTTATCTACTTTGTATCTTTTTCTAGTTCTGAGAATTAGAAAAAGTTAAAAAGCAAGTAACGCGAGATTAAAGTTAATCTACATTGGTAGAAATGGACATAAGTGGCGGACACTTTAAATGATAGTGATTGAATAACAGAGAAAATTAGTACACACATTTCGGTATTTACACCGGCGAAGTGGGTTGCGTCACATCACTTCACAAAAGTTATCTAGTATCTCAAACACTCATAAGACAGCTGGGAGAAGTCGAGTATAATAAAATCATAATATGTACAATAGATTTCAAAAACGAGGGGAAAAGAAAAATTGTTTAGATCAACAAAAAGAAAGCCAAACTTAACGTACACAGTTACGATCAGGAGTCTGAAAGAGTTAATTCGAGGTTCCTTTTGCTTGCGAAAGAGAGTTTATGAAATTCTCTTCGTTTCCTAAATTGTTCAGAGTGAAACTAATTTTGCGGAGGTGTTCTACATTATAATACAACGTGCGTTGTTAGGGAATTGTGTGATATAGACGGATTCATATAGCGGAAATTAGTTGTAATATTCATAATAGACAAAGTCTCGGAACAGAAACTACACGCACATTCTCCATTTTTTATTTCCAAGCAGTGCCCGCTTTAATGCTGCAAGTCTCTCAACTTCCTTAAGAAGAGAAAGATAGTTATCGTCAGGACACGTGGGATACTTTAACTCATGATTACAGGGACGAAATAATTACATAGGGAATTATAGGTAAAACAAAATTTACGGCAGAGACACAACTCGTAGTACCTTAAACAGCGGCAAGTTTAATGCTACAGCTTTCTCAACCTCCTTGAAAGAAAAGAAAAATACAAGTAGTTATCATCAGAATGTGGAATTTTAAATCTTGCGAGTTAAACGATTACGCGGGGATTATTATAAAGTTGAAGGTCTAATATATTCCTTTTTTTTTACGAAGAGATACAATGCTATAACCGAAGTCTACATCATTGATATTCGCGCGAACAGTGCGAGGAACAGAGCGAGAACAACACGATCGATCGCGCATCTGTGGTCTGCTTCAAGAATTAATTTGGTTTGCAAAGCAGCCGATATTTCCATAAATCCGGGGAAATACCGTGTATCGGGCGTAACCGCGCGATCTTCTCGTTCCTTTCTCTCCACCCTCGACGGGATTCCTTCTTCCGCCATCAATCTTTTGATTACACATTCATCGGGCTTACTTCCGGCAATTAAGCTCCACGCCGTGGCTTTCGTCGAGATGAGCGGATCTCGGAAAATATTTTCCCAACGCGAGATATTCCGCAGAAAATTTCGATCTGTCCCGTGGGAGCTCAACGGATAAGCACCGCCGTAACGGCGGAGACGAAGAAAAAAGTAACTAAAGAGAGATAAAAAAAAAAGAAAAAAAAAAGAAAAAAAAAAGAAAAGAATGTACAAAGAAAAAAGAGAAAGACAACGGCGCACCGATGGCGGAAGGATGAAATGAAGGAAGGACGCACCAGGCGGCTAGAATGGAAGCAAAGTCAAGTGGATACTTACGAATTTAGCGGTCTGCGCCGACAGCATGTCCGCGTACTGTATTAGTGCCTGGAAGGAGCCTGGAACACAAAAGCGATAAAAACTGTGAGACTACGTCGTCCATTGGTGAATTTTACGAGTTTCCCGCACAAGCCGCGCTCGAGATCGCAAAAGAATGGATAGTCGCGGTGGCCGATAAATTCGTCTCGAATGGTAAAACACGAGAGCGGCATTGGAAAAATAGATCAGTAACAAAGAAAGAATGATTATGCGCTGGTATCTAAAAATTTAATTAAACAGATCCATAAATAATTTTGCTAGACCATCAAAATAATTATGTAGAACACTTAAGGACG